CATTAAAATTTGCACTTATATTATCAAATTTTATTTAAAAAAAGGAATTTTTTTGGATAATGAAGAAAAAAATCTTGAAATATTGTGTGATAATATTGGAAGAAACATGCATTTGGTGGAAGAAAGCTTGCATACATGGAAGACAACTTGCACATATATATCATATCTTCGTGTTCATGGAAGAAACATGGATGCATATGGTTAGAGAAACTTTCATATGATGGAAGAAAAAAGCTTGCATATATGAAAGACTAATTGCACATATTATTTCCTTTGTGTCCATATGGAAGAAACATGCATCCATACAATTAAATAAAGTATGGTGGAAGAAAACTTATTCATATATATATATATATATATATAGTTTATCCAAAAACAAAATTTGTTTATTACACACATACATGAAGACAACTTGTCAAACACCCTTAACATTTGAATTAACTACCTTACAAATATTTAAAACAATCAAATTCCACAGTACACATGAAGACAATCAGATTTGGCTTTGGTTCCCATCAAGTGATGAGTATTCAAATGGTCCAAATTTACCTTTTATTTTATTTTTTATTTGATATTTATTAAAATAAAAATTATAAAAATTTTAATAAATCTACCTTATATCGACAAAATGGACAAAGCAGATATTTTTTAGAAAGTGCAAATTTAATATTAATTTTTTAAAATATTTATAAATTAACTATTCAAATATTCTTTAAATAGTGCAAATTTAATATTTAATTTTTATAAATTTTTATTTTGAAAATAAAGATAATTTTCAAACTGACACATTAAAAAAATTAGAAAAAGGTTTCTTGTAAAACATTTTAAATCTAGATTGTCTATAGTAAATCTAGATAGTTAATTTATAAAAATTATATAAAAATTTAATATTAAATTGGACCATTAAAATTAAATATATATTGTCCAGATTTGTAATAAAATAAATTTATTAAATTTATTAAATTTTTATTTTAATAAATATAAAATAAAACAAAATAAAAACTGTAAAATTGGATCCTCTAAATTAAAAATCCAGATTATTCAGATTGCTCAACACCTAGCCTGAGCACAGAAACCAGAGCCCACAGAGGTTTCTGCCTTTAGGGTCCACCAGAAAAATAAACACTTAAGTCCAAGCTGCAATGAAGGGGTCTTCCACGATCGTTAAAACACAATCACTTTGATCGAATATTTAATGCATGAAATAAAACATAATCCACAATCAATAGCACAATATCCAACAACATTCACAGATTCAAACATTACAATTTAACCAAAATAAGGGGCATTACAAATCAGTTTTCAAACTTTTACTGAAGTCAAATCCTAGCACTTGGTATTTGTAATAAACTCCCATTTATAGCATCATAGCATGCATACAAAGTATACAAAAAAGAAGTGGTCTGGTCTGTTTAGTGGATGGGAGGTCACTGCTCAGGTGTCTTCGAACGTCTACAATGTTTTTTGTTCTATGGTAACAATTCAAAACCGTTGCAATAGTGTGAAAAACAGCTGCCTATAAGTATAAGCAATGGTTTTTGCACATATAACATGCCCCTGTTACCTATAACTTAAGGCAATGGCTTTTTCATACTTTAGGCCAACGTTCATAAAACCATTGCTTATAGTGAGACTATAGGCATTTAGGCAAGAGGTTTAGAATGCTTTAATAGGCAACAGTTTTAACCTGTTAAACAAGGAATGAGATAAAATCTCAATAATCAAAAGTAAATTTTTTAGCATAGATGCTTAACTATAGTTGATTAATATTACAGATTATTCAAAAATGTCATAATAAAACTAGTCACTTTCTAGGATCGAGTTAAAATTTAGTTATTGTATAACTCTTTCACCCTTTTGCTTTGTGCCAATTATAGTTTAGGATTCAGGTGATAATTGGCCTGCACCTTTTGAAGCCAATTATAATATCCTAAACTGGTAAAACCATGTTGAACACAAAAGTTGTTCTCTACATTTGCTTTTGAGAAAATGACACTAAAATCATAAAAGAAAAAATTAATAACAATTAAGTTTTTAATAATGTTTTAAAATAATAAGTTATAAATATTGATTCAAAAAATTATAAATAAAAATTTTAATTTCAAACTAAGAGTCACTCTTAGAATTTAAATGTCTTATTTTCTATTAGAACTTTTAAATTTATAATAATTTGAATTGATACTTGCAATTTATTTTTTAAAAAAAACTTTATTAGAGACATAATTATCATTAAATCCTCATTTAGAGACTTAATTATCATTCTCTTTTTACTTTCTAAAAGTGATAATTAGGCCCCAAAAAAACAAATTAAAGACAGTTAAATCATCGATAAAATATTGTAAAAAATGAGTTACAAATATTAATTCAGACAACTACAAATAAGAATCACATATAAAATTAATAATTATATTCAAAAATTAAATATTTTATCTATTATTTAAAATTCTGAATTTGTACTAGTTTGAATTGATATATATTTCCAACTGTTTTTTCTTTCAAAGTTGAGAAGTCAATTATCATTAATACACAATTTTGAGATTTAACCGTAATTCTCACTTGCTTTTGCCCTATGTATATATCCAAAAAGAAAAATTTAGATAATTTTACTACATCAAAACTCAAAAATTTATAGCCGCACGCACACTTCATCATAAGGAACTTCAAGAACTTATTTGAGTATTTCATATTTGACTTTGGAAATATGCTTTTGGTATTTTCTAAAAGTCAAATATTGTTTGGATAAAATTTTGAGAATGAAAGTACTTTCTTAAAGTGTATTTCAAATGTTATTGAAATTTTATTTTGTAAAAACACACCAAAATTACTTTTGCATTTGGGAAACCTAGTTGAGCATGTGATGAGATAAGTAAAATTGTCAAAGTTCCTACATTACCCTTGTTCCTCACCTATTATTACCAACCCCAAAAACCACATACAGCTCTAGCCATTTGCGTTATTTTCATCATCATTTCGCCATGTTCCAATAAGAAAAGAATACATTATTTTCATAATAAAACATAATTTTTTATATCTTTTGATATCTAAAAATTATTTATACATCTTTATTATATATATTATTCAATATAAAAATTTTATATTATCTATATTCTTTTATTATATATATTATTGAACATTTTAAATTTTATGCCACTATTTATATATTTTTCAATAAATCAAATTATACATAACAAAAATTACATATAATAAATTCTATATGTCTTTTTTAGTAACTATGCACTTAAAATTATTTTTCACTATATATCATTCAAACATTTCTAATAGAGAACCCCCTTTGAAAAATTTTATCATATTTTAAAAATATTTTTAATATATTATATTTATATAAAAAATTATAAATAATTATAAATCAATATTCTTTTTATAATTGTATATTCAAATGCATATTTCACTATATATAATTCAAATAATTTTTAGTTTATTAAATTGATTTTTAAAAAAATATATCTAAATCTAAATTTCATTACAATAACTGACTTTTATTAAACTAACTTTTACAAAATAAATTTTTAATAAATGAAATTTTGATAAATTAAAAACCAGAGAACACACTAACTTTTTTTTCCCCTTAAAAAACATTACAACGTGGGCTTCATATCAATAAGAATGAGTGTGGCTGATAGTCCAAAAGTCAGATCCCAATTTTTAGGCTTTATTGTGGGCTTATGTTGAAGATTAAAACTACTTTAATAACCTTTGTTTAGTGTCTTGACCAAGAAAAAAAGTGTTGTTTGGTGTAATCAATTTGCCTTGGTTTTTCAGGCCTAGAAAAAACATTTGCATTGGGTTTGAATTTCCATATTTGATGTCACTGAAACAGGCACTGTTAAACTCAATTAAAAGCACCTCCCTCAATGCAACTCTCTCTCTCTCTCTCTCTCTCTCTCTCTCTCTCTCTCTTGTTTTTGTTTACATCCATAGTATTCGAATGCCTGATCTTATTTAAAGAAATTTGAGCTTCTAAAACCATTGTTAGTTATGCAATTTAACTCAGCCAATTTTTTTTATAATATTTACTTTTTTATTCTCATGTTTTTCTTTAATTTTCACACATGCACAGTATTGCGCAGATACGGTGAAATAAAATTTTTAAATTATAAATAAGTCATGTTATAAATACTTTTTATTTAGAAATAATAATAAATTTAAAATATTTTATATGTTTTAAAAGTTATATCATCGTAATAAGGATTACTAATTATATTCAGAAATGTCAACCTTAATTTTTTTTTACGATGCTAAAAACATTTGATTGTTATAGCAGTTTTAATTATTATTAACTTTAATCATAAATTGCATATGTTATTTCTTTTTTTTTTTTAATGAACAAGTAAGAGATAAGAGGAGAACCGAAAAAAAAGAAAAAGTTAACAATATATGGGAGAGAGAAAAAATATTATGATAATTTTAGAATGGACAAACTATATAAGGTCCAATTGTTTAGTCCAATATTCTAATATATGATTTTTATTATTAATAATGGCGCAGTAGAATTTTGAAATTTTATTAAAAAAGTCCATATCCTAAAATTTTATTGGAGAACTTAACCTAATGGATGTAAGAAAATGGAACTAAGTTTTGTCCTAATTAAAATAAGAAGCGAAAGAAGAAAAATATATAAAAGAAAATAAGAATTATGAAAAGGGGTCCAAAAAAAAAAAACAAGAAGAAGAAGAAGAAGAAAAAGCCTCAAGGGTCAAGTTGCGTTATGCTAATTTTTTCACTTTTAAATAAATGAATAAATAATTAAAACAAGAAAATAATGTCAATAATATCTGTCAAAGAAATCGAAGATCAGTGAGCCGCTAAGGATACGTGTCAGCATCTGATATAATCCAAGGAACGAAATAATATTTCTTTTAGAAAAATTGCATCTGATGCGAAGTGGTGGGGCCCACAAATAGTGACCGTTGAAACTTGAACGTTAAGCTCGTGAGTCGTCCCCAGCTTCACCATCCCTTTAAAAAACGACAGAATCTGAAACCTTCCAGACCACACCACACAGTAGCTTTCTCTTGAGTTCTCTCTTTCTTCTTCTTCGTTATATATATATATATATATATTCTCACCTTCCTCTGTTCTCTGTGCAGTGTACAGAAAATACTTCCCATCCTTTCTCAGATCTCGAGATCTCTGTTTCTTCTCGATCTTCTCCGTCATAATTTTCTCCTGTGAGTTGCTGAATCCATCCATTAAAGCTCCAGAAAGATGGGTATGGTGGTGGTGATATCTCTGCCTCTGATTCTCTTCTGTTTAATTCTGGGTTTTGGATGCTACTTCCTCGGACGAGCAAGAGGAAGACAAGACATAAAGACCAATCCTCAAGTCTTTGGTGTGCCCACTCCTCCACCAAATTCTTTCCCTTCGCCTCCTCCTCCTCCTCATCATTCAAAGCCAGACAACACTGATAATGTTTGATTCGATCAATCATAATGTATTAATGTTAGTCTTTCGTGTTCTTCTTCTATTGTATATGTGTGGGTATGTGGGTGATTCTTTTTCTTTTGAAGAAATCTCTTCTATTTGGTGTGCGTTGTGAAATGGCTGTAATATATTGAGTAGCATCTACGAGTTTTGAGATTCATTTTTGTAAGTTTTTATGGGTTTCAAGAGTTTAAGGGCTTTCAACGATTCGATCTGTATTCTAAACTTATACGCAGTATAATTTCTTCTTTCAACTTTAAAAAATGGTTCACTGGACACCATGTTATTAAATAAAGTGAATTTTGATTATTAGTTGCTTCAAAAAATTACAAAATATATGGACATGAATTTGAGTTTAATTATGAGTTGAGATTCATTTTTATTTGTGTCTGTTGCTTGTTTAGTGTTATGATGACGACAGAGGAGGGAACGAAAAGAAGTTCCCCAGATTTTTTGAAGTTATTACAAAAAGGCAACAATCCGATTGTTAAGGAAATGCATTTTTGCACTGGTTTTGTGTTAGTGTGCGAGACTTCCCATGAATTTATATCTAAATTGATGTTTGTGTTATATACTTTGAGAGGAGTTGTCTTCAATTTAACTAAGATTGGAGGTAACCTAATACACTCCTAATCCATTGAATTAACCTCATCACCATTCTAGTCACTAATTCCAATATTGTTCAAAACACTTGGTACCAAATTGGTCATTCAAGATGGGCGCAGGTGTCTTCAATTCCCTTTGCCCAATTTCTCCCGTTTCTTCAAAATGGCACATTTTTTATTATTAAAAAAATAAGAAAAAAATATAATTTTAAATTCTTACATTTTACTTGAGTTTTGTTATAGATCTTTATACTTTTTTTAATATTTTAAGTCCTTTCATTTTTATTTTTCAGTGCTCTATGTTCCTTCATGACAGATGTTATAGAGACCTAGAGCATCGAAAAATAAAAATATAAAAACTTAAAATACTAAAAAAAATATAAGAATTTATAATATTATTTAATTAAAGTGTAAAGATTTAAAGTTTATTTTTTTTAAAATATGCACAAACAAAGTATTCTTGGCCCTGCTCAGCCTAGTCGTACCTCTCCCTCTCCTTCATTTCTCATTTCCTGTCAACTTTTGCTCAGCCAGCTTTTCCTTCTCACTAGCTTCTCCCTCAGTCATATTCTTTGCTTCTTCCTCTGCCTTCTTCTTTGCTTCTTGCTTTGTCATTTTGAGAGCTTCAATCAACCTCTACAAGCAACTCTCCTTATCTTCCTCCATTGACTTTGTCATTAGATTCTTAACCATATCAGTAAGCGTCATCTCTGTCTCTATCATCAATTCCTCAATTATGGGAAACAAACGGTGGATTTCAATATCGAAGTAATTCTTGGCAAGCACCTTGAATGCTTTCATTACAAGAGACAACGAGTTATGGGCGGACACGAATTTTCAGTTTTGCTGCGACAGTTGGTTCTAATGACACCGTTGCATCTTCGAAGAAGAGCGGTGTTGTTGAGAAAGGGAATGAGAAATCAAGGAGAGGGAGATGTGCGAATGGATTGGGTAAGAGTTTTTTGTTTTTCTGTGTTTTTTTAATAATGAAAACGATGACGTTTTTAAGAAATGGAGGAGAAATGCATCTAAGGGAATTGGAGACAACCCATACTCATTCAAGATGATCTTGTGACTTCTTTTAACATGAAAAAAAAAAAAGATCTTGTGACTTTTTTTTTGGGTTAAAAAAAAAGATGATCTTGTGAATGGGCAGGTGCCAAGCTTTTACTTTTCATAATAATATAGTATAACAAGTATAATTTTTTTTATTCAAAGTCTATGTTAACAATATTTTAATTGAGGAAATTTTTTTAAGGAAATTCTATATAAATCATATTTTTTATGTAACTCAATTCTTAAATTTTGACTTGTGACAGGTTAGTCTCTATATTTTATTGATTTAAAATATTGGTCCCTCTATTTTAAAAGATAAAATTATAAATATTTAAATTATTTTAAAATATTATTCCTAAATTTCAAAATATTTTTAATTTTTATAATTTTTTTTTAGAAATAGGGACCAATGTTTTAAATATTTAAAATAATATGAAGTGAGTTATATAGAGTCAAAGTTTAAAGATTGAATTACAACTAAATTAAGACTATAAAGATAGATTGACTAACGAGTCAAAATTTAAAAATTAAATTATAATTAAATTAAAATTTTAAGAATCAAATAATTAATTTTTCCTTAATTAACAAGTTTTACACACTACTAAAAAAAATACTGTAACAGCAACAGCAACTTGCCGCAATTTTTCTTAAATTGTGAGAAATCCCACTTTTTTTTTTTCAAAAAAACTGTGGCTATGAATTTTTTTGGCTGAAAATAGTTAAAACCACGGCTTTGAGAGAAATCGTGGCTTCTTGTAAATTGTGTAAATAGTGGTTTCAATCTTAAGTCCTTCTTCGAAAATTTACAATTAGTGTAAATAGTGCTTTCATTTATAAACAACATATATATACTAGTCCATTTGTAAATTTATATAGAATTTGTAAATTTTAAAAGTTAACTTGTAAATCATATGTGAAGATTTTTATATAATAATAATATTTAAATTATTATTTATAAATTATTAATATTTTAATAATATATTATTAAAGTAAATGTAATTTTTAAATTGTTTATTAATGTTTTTTATAGCAATTATGATCCTTTTCACCTGATGACTGGTTAACATGATTGGTGAAAATCATATTTTAGTCTTTTAATTGTTATTAACTTTCTTATAGAGTGCTTATATATAATTTCTTATATTGTTTTCTATAATTTTTTTAGGCTTTTCTTTTTGTAAATTTTAAGTCAACTGCTATGGTTAAAGTTAACTTTTTAATGATGAGTAAGGTGCATTATATTTAAATGTTGAAAGAAAAAATTGTATTATATATAAATTTAGAATATTAAAAACTCCTAAAAATAGTTGATGAATAAAAATGTCCTTTAACCCATAAAACAATATAGACACTAATTTGAGTTTAATTACGAGTTTTGATATTCACTTTTATTTTTATTTGTTGATTGTTAGTGTTTGATGATGATAGAGGAGGGAAACACTATATTTCTATTGGTATTTTCGATCAGAGATAGTGATCGAACAGTCGCTTGATTTAATTAATTTATAATGCAAGCATTAATCTAAGCATTGTTAATGCAAGATTGGTTTAAAGGTTAATTTTGTCATGAAAGTTTTTCATCAGGTGCAATTGATATCTTTAACTTTTGATTGGAGTAATGTTATCCCAAAAGTTTAAAAAAAGGTACAATGTCACCGTACAATAATGGTTGACCAATGTTGATCATTATTTTGAATGTTAAAGAACAATATTGGCCTAAACGTTTGTTTGAAAAAGTAATTGGCATCTTAAACTTTTAATTGGTGCAATATTTTTGGATTATTAACTTTCAAATTGAAAGAAAGATGCAATGTGACTTGTTATAACCCAAAAATAGAATAAGATTCTAGGTTGAATTACATTGAACATCCAAGATAGTTTATGTTGCCCATAAGTATGTTTGAGGAAGTTGCATATAAAGCTCATGCAAGTTGAGAGTTACTCAAGGGCAAAATAAGAACAAGTATGAACTTCAAAAAGAAAGCATGTAAGTGATTGGAGTAAAGTTGATTTTGTGTCAAAAGTTGAAAACAACCTTGGGTAAGACTAAGCATGCATGAAAATATCCTCACTAGTTGCTCCAAAATATATATTAAAGAGGATAGCAGTGAAATATAAAGGAATGTCCAATTCACAAATTAAGATCATGCTTTCCAACAATTAGAAATGTGTGTGTGTGAGACCAGAAAATGATTTTCCTGCAACTATCAAGTCAAAATGTAACAACTCAATATGCATGGAACAAGCTCAATATCAAGACTTCATATGCCTAAACTCTTCTTCTCTCTCCACTAAAAGATCACTTCACATAATTCAAAATCAATGGGACTTTGTAAGCTTGTAGCGTGGCTAAAGGTTTTGGGCTTATTGAAATGAAATGATAAATGGAATTCAAAGAACTTGAGATAAATGACAATGAGAAGCCAACCATTCCATTCTTGCTAGCCAAATACTTTCCCCCAAACTTATCCCAAATACCATTCCTTGTACTCCAAATTTATTGATATTGAAACTCTCTCTTTTTTTTTTCATTGCAATTTTTTTTTTCATTGCAATTTTTTTTTCATGTATATTTCTATATATTTTTTTTCTTTCTTTTTTTTTGAGGAGCACAATTAGTAGAATTCCAAACTTCATTTCCATTCCTCACACCCAAATTTACAATAACAACACCTCCTTGAACAACTAAAACAAACTTCCCTACTAGCACACAAAAATTTTTTTATCACTTATCTCAAGAGTAAGGTAGTTCATAGTTTTTCAAATTATAGAGGCTAGGGTCTAATGAAGGTTTCAAAAAGAAAATACATAAGATTTTCAATTCCAGGCTCAAAAGGGGTTCAAGTGGAAATGATGCAATAGGTGGGTTTGAAAGGCTCAAACGCAATTGAAAGAATGCCCAAATCATATTTTAATATCATGCAAAGTGATTAAAATGCCTCAAGAGATTCCAAGATAGGTTCTAGAGTTTCTCAATTGAGAGAGAAAATGCACATAAACTTGCCACATAATTTCCTAATAGAGGCATTCAAATCATTGTCTGGTTCAAAAGTGCAAAAGAAAAATTCACAAAATTATTAGAAAGCAAGCCTTAACCCTGCAAATCAAGCATGCCAAAATATTTATCACAACTTCCTATAAAACATACAGTTTAAGCTACATTCTATCATTGGATCACACATTCTATTCAACAAATAATTTCTCAATCTAGCTCAAATTTCAGAAGAGAGGAATAGTAAATAGCTAAGTTTCAAAATTGAAGTTCATGTCAAATCAACCAAAATAATACCCTCACCCCCAAACTTAAATTGAACAGTGTCCGCACTGTCAAAAGGATAAAATGAGGGCCCTCTCTCATGCAACTATACAACCAAACAACAATAGAAAGGTTGCATGAGAGACACAAAAAGCACAACCTGTAACAAAAGAGTATTTCAACAATATCCACAGGTAACAAAACAACTATAGAACTAGAATTAAGACAAGCTAATCTATGTGATCTCTTGGGAACTTTGAGGTAGAGAGGAGGATGAATGACAAATGTGA